AGGAGTTGTTGTTGTTGTTGTTGTTGTTGTTGTTGTTGTTGTTGTTGTTGTTGTTGTTGTTGTTGTTGTTGTTGTTGTTGTTGTTGTTGTTGTTGTTGTTGTTGTTGTTGTTGTTGTTGTCCAGCGACGACGGTGTGATCACGCTCTGCAGATCTCGCAAGGTGTCCTGGGCCTGGGAGAGTGCTTGACGCAGGAGCGTCTGCTTGATGTAGTAATACGTATTAGAACGATCCGTTCGAAGCGGTGTTCCGTCTGGCGTTGTTCCTTCTGGCGACGATGAAGATGGCGGTTTCTCTGCCATCAGTAATAGTCCGACCAGGCTTTCCTCCAACCGTCGTAATGCTATCTGTACGGATGCCACGATCAAGAACACCGTCGACGCATCCTTCTCGCAGAAGGGGCATCGAAGGGTCTTCTGACATACCTGCAGACACGACGTGATGAGGCCCTGCAGGCCGCTGTCGAAGGGGTCTTGGTCTTGTTCTCCATCTCGTCGCATGTGGTGATGCAGATGGATCACTTGCGAGGTTTGCCTCTCGAGACAGTCGCAGTCGCATCTGCTGTTGCTGCTACTGTCCTCTGCCAGGTTATCGTCTGGTGGGAGGGAAGTTGGCACCCATGGCATGTGTCCTGGAGTGTACGCATCGACGGTGCCGGTGTTGGCAGATATAAGACCCTGACTTTCACCTACTGCTTCTCCTGGGATGTGCGTGTTGAAGCAGGCATTGACGCTCTCCGGCGGCGAAGGAGGAAGCGGTTGCCACAGCCAGCTATAGCTGTCTTGCGATTGCTGGGAAGGCAGTGGATAGCTCTGTACCGGAAGATTCTCACTGCCAGTCCACGCAGGAGCAACCAAGGATGGATTCCACAGGGCGCTGTCGACCGGTACAGCCGGAAGACCAGAAGAACTCTGTCCTGAATCGACAGACATGACCGTCCTGTTTTCCTGGCGTCCTGCGCACTGCAGCCGGGCGAGCGTCTTGCGATTGCGGCTCCCCTTCGGCTTGCCGATGCGCGCCGCATAGCTGTAATGGCATTGCAGGTCGTGGTTCCGGCAGTGCAGACAGGTTGACCCGCCGGTGCATCGCACTTTGGCCTGGTGACAGGCGTCACACGCTGAGCGGAGTCGTGGAGGCTGGGGGGTTTTTTTGGTGGACATAGTCGGCAGAAGATGATACTGTTGTAGATATGACAAGTTTAGTCCGGCTGATCCTGCGACAGACATTCATTCTTTTATAGATCCTCCCGACAAGCCATGCATTTTTCAGCTTTCAGCTCGACATCATCCGCAATTTCAGTTCGTGTGCAGGGATTCCTGCCATCTGTGTTACTTGACCTGGACCGTATGCTGTCTGATGGAAGGCCTTGATCAGAATTGCGTCTGTCTTGTGATAGGCAGGGTCTAGCATGTCCATGTCGAGGTTAATCTCAGCCTGTGGCAGCTGTTGGATTGACCAACGCTATAAATCTGCTAATTTAAAGTCAGTTCTGTCAACAGTAAATGTACAGTACCTGGATCCAGGTCCATGATTTCCTGCATCCCCTCGGGGCCAGATCTGATCTCCAGTATACGCGCGTGCCAGTCTCCATCTCGCAGAGCCTTCCAGAACAAGAACATCTAGTGAAACGGGACACAACAGCATGCGGCTGGCTGGCAGGGTGTAAGTAATGCATGTACAGACATACATACATACATGTATGCCTTGGCATAAGCAATTGGGGCCAGACAGAAAGTAGACTGCAGGTGCAGAATTTTAATTGCCTAGGCGATGAAGATGTAGTGTAACTTAGCATTAGCAAGCAAGCACATTTGCTCATGGTCATGGTCATGCGTCTCTGCAATAAAGAGGAGTTCAATTTAGAATTTAATAGGAAAGACGAGGAAAAATGGGGGCCTTTCTTGAAGCCTCCCTGAGGATCCATCCATCCCCCCTACCTACCTAGTTTGTGACACCTGGAGGACATGCGACGAAGTCGGTGAGTCGAGTCGAGTCACGATGAATAAATATCTCTGGAAGCACGTGCTGGTCATTTGACTCGAAGAAATGCACATATATAAACAAGAAACATGACAGAATCCGACGATCGATCGATCGACCGAACGAACGCAATTCCTTTCTGACTTGGATAGTCAGGATTTCTTATGTTGCACAAGACATGACAAGGGTGTCGTCATCATCATCATCATCATCGTCATCACCGCTCGTCCCGAATGCATCTATCGCATCTCGTCTTAATATAATATCAGTCGTACGGGTTCGTGCTGTATGAGCACACGGCGAAATCGGCCGTGCAGGGCCAGCTTCTGCCGGGGGACGGACCGCGCGACCGCGTCATGGTCTTTGTGAACGGCCAGCGTGTGGGCGTGATCGACAGGATCTACGAGACGCCCGCGACGGTGCAAGTGTCCCTGCAAAAAGGGAGATGTGCTGCAGCTGCTGGTCGAGAACCTGGGCCGGATCGACTACGGGCAAGCCTTGCTGGACTAGCGCAAAGGCATCGTCGGCAACGTCACTGTCGGGGGGACCGTCCTGACCAACTGGGCCATGCACTCTCTGCAGCTGGACGAGCTGCCCATCAGTGTTTTAGCTCCAGCTGCACCACCCTCCAACACCAGTGCTAACATCCCCCCGCTCTTCTACCGCGGCTTATTCCAAGTCGACAACGCCGAGGGCAAGCCCGCGCTCAACCTGGACACCTTCCTCTCCCTGCCGGACGGCGTCAAGGGCGTAGTCTGGGTGAACGGGCACAAGCTGGGCCGGTACTGGCGCATCGGGCCGCAGCAGAGCCTGTACGTGCCGGGGTGTATTCTTACGTCGGGGCAAACGAGGTGGTGGTGTTGGAACTCGAGCCGGGAAATATTAACAACAACAGCAGCAGCAGCAGCAACTTCACGGCGTACGGCAGCGCGGTCAGGGTAGTGGTTTAATAATCCTGATCCGGATGCACCGGTGGCGGCGTAGGATATATAGCTGAAAATGACTGACAGCTGCAGTTGACGGAATAAGACTAATTATTGCTGCATTGCTGACGTAGGTATGAACTGTACGTGTACATACATCAAGCTAGCTGCATTCAACTGGATCATTCAATTCCAGTGAAGATTTTATTCAAGCAAGAAGTTCTATGTACTTACTATCTGGAGCACTGAAACAGTACATCAGAATACCATACGTACTTGAAGCAAGTTCTGATGTCAGCAACTGCCGGATGACCAGATAGCAGCCAAGACAAGTCCAAGGCCAATCTATTGTCACAGTTGATACTCGACGTCGAAGATTGTGAGTCAGAGCCTGTGACCCCTAAGGCGGTCTTTCGTCCATTCCAGCTTCTCTGATGGCTTCGGTCTGGCGTAGACTTGCGGGTTGTAGTAGGCCGTCAGGTAGACACCCGTCGTCTTCTTGAATGCAAAGACGATGTAGGTATGCGTGCTCGTCGACTCGGCAAGGGGATGGTGTGGACTGCGCATAATCGTTAGCGGCTGCCGGAAGTACATACAATGTATTGACAGAGTTTCTCCCACTTACAACGTTTCCTTCAGCGTGTCTGTATACGTCTCCGCCAGACTGGTCCAGCCTCGACGACGGAAAAACGCCGTCAAGCCACGCGCAATGTCGAGATCGCTACGAGCGTAGTGGCGGACTGGGATGTACAGCTTCGGTTCTGGAAGCGCGGCCCCGGGCTTGATTTCGAAATTGAACAGGACGCCTGAGGTGCGATGGCCAGCGCTGTTTTCGTCCCGTGGATGCAACTCGTCCGAATCACGCAGGCCATCCGGCAGATCCAGAACGAGACGCCACAGCTCTTCCAGCATGCCAAGCGCAGTCTGGATCGTCTGGTCGTTGAGTCTACCGCCCAGCGTAAAGACGTCCTTGACCTTCTCCAACGCCGTGTGAGGTGTCCGGACGTAGATCTTGATCCGCGACTTCTCTGGAGCTACGCAGTCAATGGCGATGAATTCCAACTTGGGTCGAGACGCAATCGGGCACGAACGGATGAAATCCTCCAAGACGTTCCACCCTGGCGACACGGAAAGTGCCGGCTCATCGAGGTTGCGGATCGCCGTCGACACCAGATCCAGAACAGGTATCCCCGTTTCCAGAGCTTTAAGAAGGGGAAAAATGTAGGCCTTCGTCGTTACCTTTCCGCCGTCGAAATCAAACGCCACAAACAGCTGGGATGAGTGCTCGCCAGCAGGTCGTCTTTTCAGAACGTCGTCAACATCGTCGTCGTCGATGAAGAACCAGTCTCTAAAATAGTAGAATAACTGGAGGTCGATGCCAGGTAGCTGTTGCAGGAGCTCGAGGGCTGGTCGCTGATTGAACGGATCGAATGAGGTTCCTGCAAAAGGGCCGATGGGCTCGATGCTCAGTCGAACGACGGACCGATTCGCGCCCAGGTTCCAGCTGATCTCGATGGGCGTGTGGTCGTCTGTCATGAAGCTTTTCCAGGGACTGCTCGCAGATCTGTCGCTGGGGCAGGGGGTTTGTTTTGGGCCCAGCGCGGCGAGGATATGCGCGTGATAGAGGAGGAGATAGCGACGCTGAGACTCGACGTCGTAGCCGGCGCTCTCCATGAGCTTTGCCACGATCGACGCGGTTTCGGTCCACCAGAAGAGCTGGTCCTGGTCTGCGAATTCGAGGACGCTGGTCAGGCTGTGGTAGACAGAATTGTCGAGCGACGTTGCTGGTCTTGCAGCGACAGGAGGAAGGAGGGACGCAGAATCGGTGGCATGGGTCAAGTTCGCTGTAGAATGCGAGCCTGGCGCCATGGTGGTGACTGCAGTGTCGTCGACAGAATACAGACCGCAGTCGACGATCAGGAGATTTGCAGTCAAGTAGAAGTAAACAGTCGAGTAAACAGCTGCCTGGAAGCGCGACGTCTGTTTTTATATCCACGGTCTCGATATGGCAGGCCAATCAGACAGCGCCTATCTGTCAGCAGGAAGACAAGCAGAGAACAATTCAGACAAACAGTCGTCTGCGAAGAGCCTCTGCGGCTGTTTAAGGCGTGAACTCAGCCATAAGACTGCATGCAGCGTTCAGCCTGATGGGACGACAAATGGATTGGCCATATTGTGTCGATCAGTTTGCTTATAGTCAGCTTGAATGCACACTGAACAGATCTAGATAGGCAGATCCTGTCTTATATAGTCTAGTCTGTAGTATAGTCTCCTTTAGTTTGTTGTTTATAGAAAATACATGGATCTATTGCCGTATTCTTTGTCTGTTTCGACTTGACTCGCGGCGCTATACAACCTCATTCCAGAGAAATGGTATGGCCCTGGCAACAAAGAAGAAACAAAGAAAGAATGAGCCATTTGGATAGAACAATGTCATTTCTTGGGAAAACAAGAGAAGAAAGTACCCTTCCAATTCAAGATCTTTCTGACGTACAAGACTGAAAATTGTTCTTAGCATTGCAGGATACAATCGTCGATCGTCTGGTCTGCTGATATACCGCATTAGGCAGTCCTAAGTGATTCGAGCAAAGATCTACCACGGATACAGATATACAGATATAAATCTTTCTACTAATTCCAGGTCGACCGTTGAGGCAACTGGATGCCTGATTAATTCTTGATCCAGAACCAATTGAAACAATGCCGCCGTGTTGGTGCAGATCGAGATATGAGGCTGAACAGCTCGTTAGAACATGCATCTGTATCAACACATACGACCTCTTCTTCCTTGAAACAACTCATAACAACCATGAGAGCCTCCCACAGAGTCTTCTCCACCCCCGAGCTTCTCGAAGCCATCCTCCTCCGCCTCGACATGCGGACCCTCCTCACCTCCGCCCAGCTGGTCTGCCGGCGATGGAGGGAGCTCATCGCTCACTCTCCATCCATCCAGCGGGCTCTTTTCTTCCTGCCTGCGCCTGCTACTCCATCGTCAGAATAGGTCCCAAACCCCCTCTTGGCCGAGCTCTTCCCCCTTTTTTCCCGCCTTCTTCTTCTTCTTCTTCTGCTGGACTGAACTTTGCTTCGACCTCGGGCGTCCGCTTTTATCATCGCTCGACCTGGCCAAGTCCGAAAAGAAGGCCTCTGCGTATTTCCGCAAAGAAGCCAGCTGGCGCCGGATGCTAGTCCAGCAGCCGCCGGCCCTGTCCCTGGGCTACTTCCAACTGATCGATAGTATGGGCCCATTGACGTACTGCAAATGGGAGATTCCGGCCCCGAAGGGCGACGGGCTTCGCATGAACGTCCTTTACGACCTGATCCTCTTCCCGCTAGGCAACCCCTGGTTCGTCCGGACCACGCGCGTGTACTGGCGGAGATGGGTCCCCGACTTTGTGTTCCATCGTATGAAGTTCACCGACGAAACGAAGATGCCCGATGTGGTGATTTTTGACCGTACGGTGATGCAGTGCACCTGTGGTCCCGAGCGGCATTGGCTGGGGGGCAGACGATTGGAGCCAGCCCGTGGTACGAAAGCGATCGCGTATCCTCTCGAGGACTGGACGTTATGTCACGATGGCGAGGAGTTGGAGCCGCAGGAGCAGGGGTCTTATCGCCGTTGACTGGTATATCGAATTCAAAAGACCGCCTAGACAATGTCTGTAAGATAGTTCCATCACCATCGATTTATTCCATCTGTCAGCTGCAGCTGACCGCAAGTCATCCATCTCTATATCAAGCCGTATTTCATTCAGCCAGTGTCATGACACGGTCTTTAGCTGTTGGAGCTTTTCTGGTTGATAGCTTTTAATCATCCCTTCTCTGTTATGATACAAGCTAATCTTTATCGATATTAATATTAAGTCATTCTTGCATAATAAGCAAATTAATAACATATAAATATAGATCAGCAGTAGCTCAGGAAGCAGAGGAGTGAGTGCTCATCTAGAACTGCACAATAAGGTAAGACTGCAAGAATATTGATGAAAAAATTGTTAGTTATTGGATAACGTTCTGCTTTCAACCTCTGTAAGGCAGGCCTAGACTAGGGCTCAGGGCCTGGGGCTAGGGCTGGCTGGGTCACCACTCACCAGCAGGTGACTCGCTCGCCTCTCACAATCCAAGCTCTTCCTCACTACACATCACGATGTTCAGCAGCAGAAAAGATCGCTACCAGCTTAGATCGAAATCTAAAGGCAACCTCACATCTTCAATAATGCTGTCCAGGACAATGCAAAGATGGAATCGACGGACTGCAGATGAGTTGCCTGATTCGTGAGCTGCTCTTCTGACATCAACTATCTTATCCCTGTTACGCTAACAATTCTCAATCGAAAAGATCCATCGAAGAAACAGGCTGATATAATTGCTTTCTGCCAAACAAGACTGTCGAATCACATCGAGCGAAACCATTCCTCGACAGCAGACTAAACTGGCTAGATGGATCCTTTTTGCGGGGTCGCGACGCTAGTTTTATCCCCATGTCTCCGCATCGTTCGGTACCTTCCGATAACTAGGCTGTGCACAGAGCTTTCGTTTATCTACGTGTGTACGTACATGTATCTCCAGGTAGCTTTTTCTTGTCTGGTTGAACGGTATGAGTGTGCGACGCCAATCGTCCCATCCTCCAACCGGCCGGGCGTGTCAGTTCTGCCGCGCGCGCAAGATCCGATGCGACCACGGTCGACCGTGTGGATCGTGTCTGATCCATCGCCGGCATTGTGTCTATGCAGCTGATCCTCCGAAGCAGAGGTACCCATCCGAGCGTTCCACCGTCTTTCTTCCGAGCTGACCGCTGTAGACCATCGAGGGCCCTGATCGATGCGGCCGAACGAGAGAAGCGCACGTTACAGGCGATTCTGGTTTCGCTGAAGAACGCTGATCCAGCAGAGCGAAATGCCATCCTGGATTCCATCTCCCTGGACAATGGCGTCCTCCGCCTGCCAGATTCTCTCAATGACTTGGGGCACGACAAGCGCCCCCCAAAGCAGAGCGGCCCGCCGAGCGCACAGGACGATCGCGACGGCCTCACGCCCGATGAAAGACAGAACATCTCAACGTTCATCTCCCGAGACGAGTGCGGCGTCGTCCGCATCTTTGGCCCTACCTCGGCCCTCCATATCGAAAGTCCCACCAGTATGCCGGACTCGACCGAGTCCCGGGCGACCTCCGACCCAGACCGTTTCCAGCTGATCGCCAACGCCGCCCTGCAGCGACAGAAGGAACACGATCTGCGAAAGCTGCCGACGATAGGCGGGATCCCCTCGGAGTTGGCGATGCACCTGCTGGACCTGCACTGGAATCGGCAGCATCACACGTTTCATCTCACGTACCGGCCGGCGTTCATGAGGGACCTCGCCCAGGGGGGGACCCTACTGTTCGGAATTCCTGCTCAACGCGGTGTTTGCGTGCTCCAGCAAGTTCTCGGAGCGGATCGAGGTGCGAGAAGATCCGGACCGTCCAGAGACGGCGGGCAAACGGTTTTTTGACCGGTGCGACGAATTGCTGGCGCAGCAAAATCTGCTGCAGTCTTCCAGCATCCCAACCGTCACGGGGCTTCTAATGCTGGGCAGCACCTTCAACGCCCGTGGGATGACCTCCAAGGGCTGGCTGTATACGGGCTACGCCCTGCGCATGGTGTATGACCTGGGTCTGCACCTGGACTGCAAGGAGGTCGCCGGGAACGCAGAAGATATCGAGATTCGCCGGCGGGTCTTCTGGGGCGCTTTCATCTGCGATAAACTGCAGAGTCTCTACTTTGGGAGGCCGTTTACCATCCAGCTTCGAGACACCCATGTCTCGTGGGACTTTATGGACACGTTTGAAGAGAATGAACTGTGGACGCCGTATGTCGATCCCACCCTGCCCACGACGAGGATAAATCAGCCCACCCCGATTCGCCTGTACTCCATCTCGACCTTTCAGCAGCTGTGCTCGCTGTCCAGGATCATGACGAGCATCATCGATCACTTCTACGTCGTGGGAGCGACGCCGGACAAGACGAGGGCGCATCTCGATTACATGGATGAGAAACTGTTGACGTGGTACAAGAACCTCCCGTCCGAACTGCGGTTTGAGCCATGGGCACAAGATTCGTCGTCTTCGAATGGCCCGACCATGGCCGCTCCGAACGGCATCATCCTTCTCACCACGTACCATGCGCTTCTGATCCTGCTCCACCGGCCGTTCATCACGAATGGGCCCGCACACTCTTGGGAACGCTGCGTCACGGCGGCCCGGAACATCACGAGCCTGGCGCTGGCCTACCAATCTGCCTACTCCCTGCGGAGAGCGAACTACATGCTCAGCTACGCCGTCTACGTGGCCTGCACGATCCACGCGCGCAATCCCGCCGTGCGAGAAAGCACGCAGCGGGGGGACCCGTCGTCGCCATTGACGGTGTGTCTGCGCTGTCTGGACGAGCTGGCGGTGCCGAATTGCGGAGTGTCGGCGCCGGCCAAGATCATCCGGCGGCTGATGGAGGCCAACGGGATTCCAGTTGGAAGGGGTATGCCGTTATTACGTTAGATGATCTGTTATTGATGTGTTATTACTAATGATGCGATTAGAATCGGTTTCCAACGTGGGGGACTCGTTCCCACTGGACGTCGATCTGAGCCGGCAGATGTTTCCGGAAACGATGCTGAGTCCGAGCACGATGGAGCAGCAGCCTTTCATTGAGGATTTGGACCTACTATTCGGATTCATGCAGGAGTCGGCCGATATATGAGGTGTCATTTACATGTATTGTATGTACTATAACTGATATTGGGTACTAGATCACATTTTTCTCGGATTTCAGATGATCCTACATTTTTCCGCTATTGCTAGCGACCGTTCTACTGACATTTACTCAAGCACAGATGGATCCTCTTTCACGACCTGATCATAATACGGCTGAAAAGCGAGCCACATCTTGTTCGAATTGCCACTGCGGCGATGCGTGAACTCGGCCTCCTCGTGAGGGATATGGATCTTCTCCCATCCGTTGCCGGCGGCGGCGTTGGCCA